TGGTGTGTTGGGTCGGGGGGGGGGGGGGGGGGGGGGGCACTGGTGACCTCTCTCTGAGCTGTGACTCCTCTTGTGCATTTGATGTTAGTTTTCCTACACTGTAGACCTTACAAAGGTTGTCATCAACTGAAACCACTGAAACCCTTAACAATACAGTATTGCGTTATCTTTACATGTTCTATGTTTAGTTTGGCTCAACAACCTAAAGGGGGACCCTTCCAACCCCAGGCCCCATCGCAGCCGCCTGGGCTGCTATGGCTATAGTTACGCCACTGAGTGGGATGTGTAAATGTGCAATATAAGGGCAGTAAAGGAGGTATCATTTATTACAGGTATTTAGTTAGCACCAACAATTTATGCAGCACTTTACTGCACATTCACATCAGTCCCTGCCCTCATGGAGTCTAAGCTCCCTATCTGACATACAGGGCCAATTTAGACAGGAGCCAATTAACCTTCCAGCATGTCTTAGGGATGAACCCCACACAAGCACAGGGATAACATGCAAACTCCTTGCAGATAGTTTCCTGACAGGGATTTGAACTGGGAACCCCCAGTGCTGCAAAGCAGAAGTGCTAACCACTAAGCCACTGCTTAGTAGTAGAGCAGAGACAGAATGGAGCTGACTTATACAGGAGAGGGGGTGAAAGGGTTAAAATGATCACAACCTTTTGATGTATCAGTTGCTATACTCTCCTCTTCCTCTGTTGCAGTTGGGAGGGGACGGATTAGCAATGCAAACATTGCCATGTGATTACTGTGATGGCCAATCACAGCAATCACAAGGCACAGAGCTGATCAGATTTGCTCTGTCTGTAGCTATCCACTGTCTAATGACACAGGTGGAAGTGCAGGTACTTCCTGTAATAACCACTCCACCTACCTGCTATTTATATACAGTGGTGCGGTGGGGAAGTGGTTAAACAGTAAGTAGTCTTACAAAATGTGCTTTCCTAGCAATGTGTACATATACATATTAATGCTATGCTCTCTGTCTCTCTCTTTCTTTATATACAGTATTGTATGGGACCTTTGACTGTGCTGCTGGGTGGGTGCTATAGCAATAGTTGTGGTGACTGTGTGGGAGTTGTGCTGACAGAGGCAGTTTTTAGCATGTGCACACATAGGAAGAACCGACTAGAAAAAGACAAATAATAATAATAGTAATAATAATTATAATAGTAAGTTTAGGAAAGAGTTTAGGAAAAAAGATAATAATGTCATAAGCAGATATTCTACCTGGAGGAGGAGTACTAGCAGAAGAGTCATCTTCATCTGCAAGCATAAAATAGAATTAATAATCTTTGCATACATTTTTACATTTTACGTGGTAAATTTCCTTGGCAGCTGAACAATACGCAGCACATAAATCCTAAAGGAGAAAATAGTCAGTTAATGCGGAAGCCTGAAACACTCCAAATAAGCTGCAAACTTTTAGGGGAAAAAGCTTTGACTTTTCAGTGGCTGAAATAAAAAAAACAGCGATCAAAGAATGGTGGATGGCAGCACACATATGAAATGTAGAGCCCACGACCCAGTATTAAATGAACATATCAAAGCTTTCAAAGCCTAGGAAATGTTAGGAATGTACAACAGCAGAAAGAAGAGGAAAACACATTGAAGGGGAAACACATTGAAATTCAGATAAGCCACACATCTGACCTGAAGAAGATGTCTCATCACTGTCTTCCATGTCTGCAAGTAAAATGTGTACCATATACACAATGAATGGCTCTGCTGTATGAGCAGCATGGTACATGATAAAAGTAATGCAGTTTTCTGGTATATAAATATTACAGTTACAGGCACAACATGGCCTAGTGCTAGAACCTGGGCTACCAATGATACAAATCATGAGCCTGGAATGGGATAAAGTTGAGTTTAGTCAATGGCTTATTAAATAAAACATTAAACATAAATTCAGACCTGCACTGGCCATCTGGTAGCTTTGGCAACAATTGGAGGCTGTTACCTCTTGCAAGTGTTTGCTTGTTTTATAGCTTTCTACCTGCTGGACCAAAGCCAGCCTCATTTTAACAGAATGGTCCAGTTTACTGTGACCTAGATTCATTTGTTCTAACAGACTTCCAATAGTAAATATTTAACATGGGATCAAACTCATCTGGCAAGATGGATAGTTGAGAAAGGTAACCTAAAGATTTATGAATGGACTACAGCTACCAGTACTGTCAAACTGATACATTATGACATTAATAACATATTGACGAAGCACCTGTTCTATGGACAGTTATGTTCTTCAGTTTTTTTAATTCTCATGCCTTGAATATTGAGGAGCACATGTTATGCAGGTCCGGGGATCCTGCTTTTTTTAAATTAAAATTTGTAATAGAGCAGTCAGTGAAAGAAAGTGAACATTGTTCTTTTTTCATTTAGTGTTAATCATTTACCACTTTACTTTAAATCTATCAATAGAACAATTAAGTTATATATTTTGGAGAAAGTGTGCTCCTGAAGCCCTACTGTATGGAAGCCCTGGTTAGCATACACCGCGCTGATGATGGCCAAAAAGCATGAAACAGCTCTTTGCAGTTTGAAATATATATATTTATACTATTAGTCTGTACCTGTCTGGGTGTACAGTTGGCCCAGGAAAAAAGAAGTAATGATTTGCATGACTCTGCCTACTTAACACCCATTATTTTTCAGATTTCTGATGTTAGATATGCGGCTACCTTCTGTTTTAAGAAGGCTCTACTGCGTTTCTGTCTTCACTTGCTGAATTGTGAAAATTCACAGTTTTTGTTATTGTATTACACTAAGTCATGGCTTTCTTCCCGTGAATAAAATCTGATATAATTACTATTAAAAATACATCTGGGCATATTTGCCATTTGTAATATATACTTTACAAAGCACCGTAAAGCAGCTCTGTGATAATCTTTAGCTCAACTGTGCTAATCTACTGACAGGCCACATATTGTACTACGGTTACTCTTAGGATAACTCTTAGTCATGAGTCTGCATGTGACCGAAACATGGTAAGATGACATTTGCTGTCTTATTACCAGGCACAATAAATTACTCATATGAACTGAAACACTATATTTAGACATAAAACGTTACATTTTTTGTCACTCTAATTTAATGATTATACCGTTTACATGGCACATATTAAAGGGAATGTATAATCGATTCAAAGTTTTATAGACAAACATATAAGAAATCACCTTGATAAAAAAATATCCTATTAATATATGTGTTAAAGTTTCTATATATAATTTCTGATTTTACGCGAACACGATAGAAGCCATATTTTTTCAGTACTTATGCAGACTTGCTTTTGTAATGCTACACAAAGTTTGTGCTTTATTAATCCTTATTGCAATGAAAGTGTATAAATCTGCGGATTCAAAAAAACACTGAAATAATAACTAAAAAAAAGGTACAAAAGTATAGCTCTCTTTTCTCTATATTTTTATATATAGTTGTATTTGGGTTATGACTTTGATCATCTTGGTTATGGTTGGTTCTAGCATGGCTGTCAAATAATTCCAGTGATTGTGACCTGTGGACAGTAATTTTTTGGTTTCTGTGAGCTACCATGGGAAGCAATCAACCCTGGTGTCTTTATGCATAATGAAGTGCTATAAGCCCTACATTAGAAGTAATTACGTCAGCCAGCCTCTGACGCCAGATCGGAGGGGAGTGTTGGTCTTGGAGCCTTGAGGAGCAGCGATTAGGTAAGTAAAAGTCCTTTACACAATACCTCTAGACAAAAACGAGCAGTAAAACCTTGCAGTGCGGGGGTAGTTTTTTTTTCCTCCTGGAGATGGGCTTTAAGTCTTTGACATCTCTGCATAACGCACAAGACAAATTTTCTTGTTCATACGTATAGTACCCTGCAGGATGTGCTTATCATTGAATGAACACAATTTTTAAAGTTAGGCTTATTCTAATTATTCTAATTCTTATAATGAAGGGCCAGGACAATCAAGGAATGAAAGAATATATTTTACATAACATTAATAAGATCATATAGACGGGCAATCAAGCTCTGAATATCCTACAGGAAACAGAATGACAAGAAGATGAACTCATTCAATTGAAGCATCTTTCACATGTTCTTTTCCCCTCATACCTTGGAATGAATCCAGCATTAGACTACAGTGGGACACAAAGGTGTTGATTTACTAACCTTATAAACACACCACGAACATGTATACACATCTGTAGTGTGTTCCCTCCCAGGATGATCTATGGGTGGAATCGAAACACCTTTGTAGTGTGTACACACCCAGCAGGTGTGTTGTGCAAAGCCTTGCATGAATTTGCAAGGTGGTGTTGTGTAAATTAGCTCTATGTTGTGTTGCTTGCGTTGATGAATGCAGGAATGTAAATGCATGAGCTAACCATTTTTGTCTAAACTGTGAAGCAGCATTATATATGCATCATGTGCATGATTTTTCCATATATGGCATTAGTGGAAATATGCTTTTAGAGACTTTTTGGTTGATAAATACGTTTTGCTGTGTGAAAATCACACGCACCTGGTGCGTGCGTGTGTTTAGGTTAGTAAATCACCCCCCAAGACTCACTTGGGTGTCTGCACACGTTACCAGTGTTTTTACTTCCATGCCAAGAGTGCCCAAGGTTTTTTATGGGACTATTAATGGTACAATGGCATAGGAACAGATTAACCTTGAACTGTGAGGCTGAACCACAGAACACATTTTTTGACAAGTGTGTAACTAATATAGTAGTCCAAAGCAGTAACTGTAAATGATATTGTGGAATGTTTGTGAAAGGCTGAACCAAAGGTCACAGATTTATGCCCTGCAAGAAGGTGCCAACAAAATGATTCACTCAAGTTACACACCCACTATGAAGTACCACTGCACATCAAACCACTTATGAAAATGTTCTGTTGCAACATCAAAGTATCACATAAGGTAGAATAAGAAAAACAGTGCTTAAAATGTGTTTTCAGTTTGCAGCCAAATTGGGATAACACCTATTTTATATTTCTTGCATGTTCTTATTCACATAGAATTGAAAAAAATAAAAATAGATTTGAACGCTGTCTATCCCAGTAAAATAGACAACTGAAAGGTAAGAAATAATATTTAAAAATGTTTTTTTGTATGCTATGTGAATGGGAACACGTAACAAACATACAGAAGGGTTTTCTCAAATTTGTCTGCAAAAGTAGAAATACTATGTGTGTACCATAATAAATAAGGACTGATGAACCCCAAAGTGAGTGAGGCGAAGAGGGATTCGTATGGAACAGAGAGCCACCATCATTTCTCCTAAAGTTATAAATAAGCTTCAAATACAAAGCAAAGCATCACAAATTCCATTACAACAGCATAAGCTATAGCAAGGGAGTCAGTATCATAAAAAGTACTTAGAATCCAGACAATGTTCTAATGTGATCACATTTTATATGGCTAATAGCTGTCACAGGCAGCATTAGGCAAGATACTTTCGATGAAGCCCTATCATTAGATAGTCAGTATAACATTCCAGTTTATAGAACCTTTAACAGGATACAGGCCCAGTATCATTAAACCCATTAAAAGAATAGCTCTTAAGCAAAACCTGCCAATAGCCCTTGTAAACTTCCAAGTCAAAGTCACTCAATGAAATCAGATTGGATAATGCCTGGCTGGTATGTCATTTCACAATACACATCTGTGAGACTGGTGTTTTAGCTATACAGAGTAAAGTTTCATACAATTTTTATAACTCCAGCTATAATGGAGATTTCTTTATAAAACATGGCTGCACCAATGTATCACAGAATAACAATCAGTCTGATAACAGACATGCCTATACCATAATGTACAGCAGGTGGAATGGGTACATTACATCTCCTAGGTGATGTGGACGTCTCGTGTTTATCGCATTTGATCTCAATCAAATTGTGCCTTCATTCTGTGTAATAATATGTTGGTTTTCAGACTGAAAAACATGGTCATCTGGAAATATTTATATATTTAGAAAGTCTGGCTTACTCCCAAATACCTAAATACATGTAAAACAAGTCTATGTGCATGTTATACAGTATATCAGCCAATATTTGCCTTGTCACAATAGTGTAGCCATCTCAGACACATTTGCTATGTTTACATTTCATTTCACACAGACTGTCACTAGAGGGCACTCTGTTTCTAACAGCTTGGCCGCAATGGATTTCAGACTATGCCAAAATGCCTGCCGCAATTTACCTCTATGGGATGGCTACCAAGAAAGGAGACATATGTGCCAGCCTGCAGAGTGTGTGACAACAGAATGAGGAATGTCCCGCAACA